TTCGGTAATCTAAAAGGTCCATTTATGCAACAACCAACTTAACTCGAAATTTAAAAAATAATATTTCGGTCTATCACGTAGAAATAGAGAGTATTAAACTAAAGTTCAAAGTTTACCATAATCTTGTTTCTCCAATGGAGTAAACAACAAAAATATTAGCATTATATCACGCAGTCATTTCGCATCGCAGCTAACCAAAACAGGATAACATAATGGTTGCGCTGGCTCCTTGAACTTTCACGAGGTGCGAAGCAAATTATACCTTTACCTAAACAACAACAGCTACAACAGCAGGGTTTACACCCATGCACTGCAGATACTAAAATATCATGGCACCGTGGCAGGCTAGAGCCATCCCCTAGGTTACTAGAAGCAACGGGACGGGGTGACTACTCCGTGTCTGGATTACCCTCTGTGCTAACTGTACTGAATCGTCAGCTATCTGGGGACCACAGCGAATTGCGGCCACAAGAAGCGCTTAAATCAGACAGCACGATCATACACAATGTCAATTCTGGTATGATCATAGCATCATACTAAAGGCAAAATATACCAATCTTAGCCATTCTGTTGTTTAAATTCTGACAGCGTTAGATAACGATGGCAAAACAATAATACCACAATAACATCGTCTCGTGGCTGATGTTCGCAAGTCAATTACAACCGTTTCCAGGACAGTCGCACCAAAATCAAAGTAGCGTGACTTCCTAGGTCAACGGAAGTAACGATTAAGAGAAGCAATTTTTTATTCCGGAATTCGAACACGGCACCTCCAAAGTTAGAAGCTGATTTCTTGCCTAGACACTGTCACCACACCTTACAATTAACGACCATTGAAGGGTTTCTAAAATTTTCTTCTTCTGTCGGATGGCTGGAAGAAATGACTAGCAACTTTAAACGTCACTGTCAAGATTTCTAAGCCAATGAATGGCCGCATCGGTAGCATTCTGGACTTCAGTTATGCTGCCAAAGAACTTTCACAGCGGACATTCGGAAATAACGTGCTGCACAGTCTGATCTTCATGACCGCAGTCACACTGCGGGTTGGACTACATCTTCCAGCGATGGAGTTTCTAAAATCAATCGGGTCAAATACCAAACGTCATAAGCAGTTTTTCGCATCTTGTTCCTTTGCCGTTCATAACCGTTGGCATTGAAATTGTGGTAAATGATACTCCTTTAGTGCTGCTAAGCATGCAATCATAAGATGTTCGCTATTGATAGAAGCCAACACTACCATAAGCAGTAGCACTACCACTACTACTATTATAATTATTACAATTATTATTACTATTACCAACACAAAGTGCGTTAGGGGACAATTATACTGAGTTAATTTCACGACACCGTATAACTGTCAAGTCAAAAAATATCTATATATGCAAAATAGATACAATAAACAAACTATAAACTACAACAGACGATACACGTTTTGCCAATTTTTACACTGAATAAGCAGCCATCAGGTGGGTAAATCTAACTGCAGCCTTGTGAGACGATAACATAAGACAACATGGCCGTACCCATCGCTCATTCTAGTATGAACGCAGTACTACCCTTGTTGTCTGTATATCAACAACTTGGTACCCATTTCTCGGTTGGTTGCAACGTCGAATAAATTTCCTGCTCAAGCGAATTCTCCATTAAGCAAAGATTGTCCGCTCTCCGGAATCGAATTCAGATCCTTTGGTTCGAAGCCGGACTCACTGCCACTACTCGCCACTATAATGCAAAAGACCGATAAAACTAAGACTATGCATTACATTTGCTGCTCCAATTTGTTCAAAATGTTTAACGACCTAGAAAATTTTTAGAAAGTTCCTAAATCTTTGACTTTGTAAATAAAACTGACTATTCGGCTGATCGGGGC